CTTTTCATTGAAGTAATAATACTTTTCACCCTCCGAGTCCAGCGTACCTGAAATTGAAATGTAATAAAATTATCATCTAGAATAAACAAAATTAAAAGCTACGCTAAATTGGTGGTTTTATTTGTTAATGTTGTTAATTAAAATTATTGGCTTCGCTATAAATGTATAACAAACGCTTATTGAGCTTCAATAATTAATTGTTTTTAAATAGTAATTAAATTCGTAGCATATGTATAGTTTTAATAAAGATTCTTGACAAAAGTTGTTTGTACTTTATAGATATTTAAGCACAATTGGAAAATTCTGTTTTATCCTTGATGGTATACAGGTATTGAAGCTATAGTTACGAATTGTATTGATAGAGTTACAAAGAGAAACAATTGATAATCTTTATGTATATAGTGTGCAAGTTTTGTTGAAATAATAAAACGGGTAAATTCAAATGCGATAGGTGTATGCACCGTTGGTTTTAGACCTATCGCATGTCTTTCAGTACGGTGAAGTAGGGAGAGTCTGCGATCGTACAACGTCTTTGATATTCGCGGCTGAGCTGCTTGCAGGGTCGACAATAGTGGTGCGCGGATTGCGCTAGCGATTATGACGAATTCGGCAAGATCTATGCTAACTTAGAGTGTGTCTACAATTTGCTTATTTCAATTGATTTAATCCCCATATTTTAGGCTTCCATGCCCAAAGGGTAAAACGGGACCCAATTACTAAGACTCCGCTTTCCGCCTGTCTCTCCGTCTGTCACCAGGCTGTATCTCGTGAACCGTGATAGTTAGACAGTTTAAATTTTCACAGGTGATGTGTTTCTGTCGCCGCTATAACAACAAATGCTGAAAAACAGAACAAAAAATATTTAAGTGGGGCCCCATACAACAGACATGATTTTTTGCCGATTTTATATATTGTACGGAATCGCACTTGGCTGGTTTTTATTCATAATAACAAAATAAACAATCAAATAGATTATTTATTCTTGTGTGCGTAAATTTGCAATATTTTTTTAACATGGATGAAAACCTTCCCAAATTTACTGAGTTTTAGTAAAGCGGCCTAATCAACAAAAAAATGAGATCGACAAAAATTCCATAAGTATATCAGTAACGACAAAAGTATCTCGAATGTGTATCGAAAATTAATTTTATTCAAACTGATCTGCTAAAGAACCGTAAATTGTTATTTAAATTTTGTAACTAATATTTATTCGTATTACCTATATTATTAATGAGTTAGATGTTGGTGTATATATGACTAGCGCATTCATAACTTTGTAGTTTTGAATTTACATAGTTGCTCTATTCAATTATAATTTAAACTTGTTTGTATTTCCAAATATTTACATCTTAGTAACACGAAGGGCTTTTTAGAAACGATGAAATTCTGTAGAAAACACATAATTAAATAGTAATAATTCAGAACTTACTCGAATTTAGACTGCTGAACTTAATGAAATAAAAAAAAATCATTTAATTTTATTCATTGATAAAATTACCAGAATCTTACCTGCACAGAACATCTTGTTGAGATTCAGTTTACAGTGATTTGTTAGTCAATAATAATTATTACCCTTGAAATTCTGAACATAAGCACGGCACGGTGTTTTATCCAACTTCAAGTTATTTATGTATACGCTTCATATTAAAATTTCGTAAACAAATATACATACATTTTTATTACAACAACATTAACTCGTAACATTGCCAACGTCTACGTGGGCTCACAGCGTACTTCAGAGTTCACCCTACTTGTGATACAATATACAGTTTATCCCGAAGTTCCTTTAAAGTAGCGCCATCTTGCGTCATTTTGTGGACAACTTAAGCCACCCAGGACTGCCAACTTGAAATCTTTTGCAGACGGTAAAGTGTTGCCAAAATCAATTTATTTAACACTGATATAAAAGTTAACATAATTTTTTTAAAGAATGTTTTTAAATAAAAAAATATTCATTATTACTAACTCATATACCTACAAACATTTCACCAAAAATGCATAGCACATAAGTAATGAACACCCTAATACATCTGTATACTAACCCCTGTGATGTTGAAACAAATCAATAACTCCCTTCTGAGCAACATCTGCTTACATTCAATGTTCGTGAGGGGTCGCATTCAATATTAATGTTAAGAAATCCTTTTGGACGGGAAATAATAAAGGAACGTTTCGATATAAATTATTCACCCTGCATATTCCGATTTTACACAAAAGATAACAATTATTGTGCATTTAGTGGGCTTAAGGGGCGCTTTAATAAAACATTTCGTGGAGTAGACCTCTCCATGTCTGCAGAAAATAAAGAATTACATTCACATTGAATAAATACAAATACAAATTACTTTATTTCCAAAAAAAAAGTTCTACATTTATGCCTTATGAATAAAAACGACTAAGAGTATGCTCATCGTTATCAACTGCTCAGAGTAGCATGTCGCATTCATGAAACAAAGTTCTCGCCAAGGATATTTGAAAACAAAATCATGTTGTATAAATGATTATTTCATGAGACCCAAGAATGTTCTATTTAACATAAAGATACTTGTTTACGTTCATATACCACCCGTTCAATGGACAAAAAATTGAATGTTTGTTGAAAGAAACTACAAAATAAGTACGTGAAATATTCTATATGATGTACGTAACAATTTTATTGATGGAAGATCAATATTATCAAATTCATATAGTTTACACTACTATACAAATTATATAAAGTGTTATTATTATTTACGGATATATGTTTGGTACGTACATACATGTAGTTCTTAAATATAAAGTAAAATTCTATCATAATTCACCGCATTATACGCCTGCAAATATATTAAACAGATAAATAATTAATTGTTATGAAGTGAAACAATATTAAAAGCAAGGTGCATTATTATATTAATTATACTAGCGGACCGGACAGACGGCCGTACACACGGCTTAAATTCGACTATTTAGAAATTAAAAAGTTGTAGTGGACCGAATTGTGAATCTAAATCATTCTCGATTCGACCTCACAAAAAATTTCATTAAAATCGGTCCAGCTATTTAAGAGGAGTTCTGTGACATACAAACGTACAGAAAAATTATATATGTAAACTAGCTGTTCCGTATACGTTGTTTTGCCATATAAATTATTTGTAGGGTAGAAAAAAATGTTTGCGGTGGATCAATCTTAACATTTAGGGGGATGAAAAATAGATTTCGTCTGATTCTCCACCCTGGCCGATATGCACACACAATTTCACTAAAATCGGTCGAGCCGTTTCAGAGGAGTTCAATTACAAACACTGTGACACGAGAATTTTAAATATTACCTATTTTGAAGATCACATGGTTTATATATAATATTTACATGATTTAAACTATTTTATTAATAATATATGCACATTTTAATTGAAGTTAAAATTGTTTAATACAATACACCAACAAAAAATAAACTGTCAATAACATTTAAGTGTCCAATAAAATGTCTTAAATAATCAAATAAATAATAATTGAACACTTAAAAACAAGAATTTTAGAATCGAAATATCGCGAAGTACACATAATGGAATATTATATTGCAAATAAGAAATATAACTGACAAAGCTCAGAAGATTAGTAAGCTGAAGTGGCGATGGGCCGGCCATAAAGCTCGTAGAACCGATAACCGATGGAGAGGAAAGGTTATTGAGTGATAGCATCGTTGTAGCCATTGCAGTGTCGGACGACACACCAATAGATGGACAGGAAGTTGATGGATGCAGGTGGCTCAGGATCGAGCTTCGTGGAAGACTATGTAGGAGACCTATGTTCAGCAGTGGACAAATTGACTGAACTGACGATGATAATGATATTACTAAACTGAATACAGGATCGTCGATTCCCATAGCCGTGTATGATGATATTACATAAGAGTATTTATTTTTGTATAGATTTAATTATGTATCCTGAGGCTTAATTGAATATTCTCAAATATTCAATTAAAAGCATATGAAGTCACATATGAATTCATTCATCATTCCTCGATAGGGTCGCATGTGTGAGTTGTAACTGATGTTGTGTTTACTTTCGAGTTACATTTTTACTTTTGTTTGTACAAACAACACATAGACTAGATGTATTAAAATATAATATAATAAGAATACGATCCTTATACTGTAAGTCATAAGAAGCGTTAAAAAAAGAACGTTTTAACGTGGTCACACCGAAATTAAAAACAATTTATTTGACAATTTAACAATATGCTTTTGACAGAGACTACTCATACATTATACGATTAATAAATTACATCAACGTATCAATAGCAATTTTAATATTTCAAAGCATTACTTAAAACAGGCTCAAAATGTCAGCGTCCTTAGATTCGGCATTGGATCCAATGGAAGAAATCAGATTTCGAAAGAAACATGGAGCGTTATGGGCTGAAATTCAAAAGAGTACTCATTTTACATTCGACGAGTTGGAGCGTAAGATTTATAGTTTTATTTATTCTGATTTTATACTCGATGCAATCCTTGTTTACAAGCCTTGTTCATAGTAATAGGCGGTGCCTAACTTTGTTTCAACGACGGGAATAATCGAATAGTGTCGGGCAGAATTGTGTAGTTCATCTCTGTGGTGGTTAATATTCTTCACAGATTTCACTCACTTTGCTGTTGTGCTGAAGAGTTGGGTGGTTTTGGGTCAAGTAGTCATAAAAGTTACAAAATATTGTTACTTTAGTCAGTGAACTCTAAACAGGCAGATAAATAAAATTAAATATAAGAACAACGAACATAACCCTTTAAAAATGGACAGGATAAAATAAATAGAAATTCTTTAGTTCAGACAATTACTAAAAACGCAGTCGCAGATTAGAGTAACAGACAATAAATTTGTTCAATAATGATAGTTTACGAAATTTTAATACCTTAAAATGTTATAAGGAAAGAAGAAAAAGCATGAGTATTTGGGAAGATATTACATTAGACATAAAAAAAATGAAAATTGTTCATTATAGAATACGCAGTTTCTTTAGCATCATAATGGAAGTTTCTCATAAGGCTTCGGCTCAGTGCCATGAGACTAGTCCCTGTCGGTCGCAGAAGGTTACAGCAGCAGGGCCATCCTTCTTCATGCCATTCTCTCCAGATGTCCTAATCCCAGTAGCAGCTCGTGAGAGCGTGAGGTGACCGTGAGGTCAGTGCGCAAACCGATTTAAGCGTGCGAAGATTTCATGCAACTGCAGTAAAATCTAGATCGAAAAAACGGGACGTAGCATCAATACTAGACTCACCAAGCATATCTATAATGTGCGTAAAATGGCCAGCAACAGCTCGGTGTTGGCAGAGCGCGCTCTTAACGCCGTCACCTTCCATTATATAAGGTTCGATACAGTGAAACTGTTGGCCTGCGAAAAGAACTTTGTGTTACGCAAGCGCTTAAAGGCTATCCAGATTGAACACAGTTCCAATTTTAATAGAAACGCGGGATAGGCTCTACGGCCTACTTGGAAACCTGTGTTGTTGAACGCAACACAATAAGAACGATAGTGCTGACGATTGTTTAATGGACCAATTTGAGTACATATACAGCGTTTCTCCCGTTTTTTGTAATAGAGTTATTTGTTGTTAGCCACCGGGCTATTAAGATCACCTCACTTCACCATAACACCAGTAACTAATGAAAATAAAAATTTTGTAACCGTAGAAGCTGTTTGAGAAGATTAGAAATATTCAATAATAAAACTTTTTATTATATATAGCTTTTAAAAGCTTTCTGATATGTTTTTTTATTTTCAATTTTTATAGTATTAATATCTGCTTAATATGAAACATTAGAATTTGTAGACTGGGCGCGTTTTCGGAAGACGTGGGTTCGATTAAAATTTTTCATCCCTTTCTTCTAAAAAAATTACACACGATGAGCTTGTTGACGAATATGGGGCAAAATGTAAAAAAATGGGTTGTGGAATTGTTAATTAAATTAATCAATGGGTAATAAGCTTTATTATTTTTATATGTTACTAGCGACTCTCCCCGGCTTCGCACGGGTGCAATGTATTAAACCTTTCTCTTGAATCTAGTAAAAAAAAAAACCGCATCCAGATCCGTTGTGTAGTTTTAAAGATCTAAGCATACATAGAGACAGAGAGACAGCGGGACGACTTTGTTTTATACTATGTAGTGATCACAGCAAGGAGACGTTTACATTTCAAGTGACATTTTACCACAGTCACTCACTTGTTTTGGCTTCCCGCAACCTCTATACTAACAAATAAACTTAAGTTCAAATTGACTTTTAAGTATTATTACGAATACTTTGTACGGGAATATAGAAAAGTTATAAAGAACCTTACAAGTTAAAAAAAACCTTCTCCTGATAATATCATTAATTTCATTTATCTCTGAGCAGTGTATAAAAAAATGTTACTTCATGTTATAAGGACGTTTATTATTTTGAAAATTTGTTTAATAACATTCTTACAGAGATAATGGTGATATTTTTTAAAATACAAAAGAGGGATGAGAAGCCGGCTGCATCAGACGTTATATCCAGGTAACCAGTATTTTTTTCATTTTTAAAGCACGTATAGTGCCTTAAAAATAAAAAAAGACTTCAAAAAGAAATCATAATCCATCTTGTTTAAATTAATACCTTTTGAACGTATTTATAGAGAAAATCATCATCTAAGTTATTTATGAGATGATGATTTTATCTGACAATGACATGATTTCAATTGCAATTATTTTAGTGTACAATAAGTTGTACGCCAATAGCCTTTTACCTTAATCTTATCTAACGTAGTGAAATAACCTTTCAAATCAAATCAAATATTAGAAATTTAGTTATTTCCTTAAGTTACAATGATTTGTTTATAAATTTGAATTAAATAAAATCCCACAGTTAAGTTAGTCTACCACTTGATGAATTTAAACGAAAAATCAAAAGTAAACTTATTGCTAAAGCATATTATACCATTATATATCATTACATTGTAAACTGACCTTTTTTTAAAAAGGGCAGCTGTTGAGTTTCTTCTCAACAGAAACTGCTTTCCGAATCGATGGTAACTTACGAACGTATTAATTTATATGTAAAATTTCGACTTTTCATAAGAACGCGCGATTTGCTCTTCAAGAACAAAAGTTTTATTGAAATATTTCATAACATAATTAAATATTTCAAAAAAAATGTTAAATATAAATTTTTAACCGTAAAATATCCAAACCTGTTGTTACTTCATGTTACATCGACTAAAACGAAAGCCAATTAAAGTAAATCAAAAGTTTAGCCAATGATATACCATACAAATACAATGTAGATGTGACACTAGCGCACCGGAACTGATGCAATCAAATTACACCAATTAGTGTAATTAGATTGCAATTCTATGGACTGCTTACTCTTTCCGAATCATCATACGTTCTATGTCATCTGCCACATTCACTTATATATGCCATACTAGCTGCTGCCCGTGACTACGTCTGCGTGGAATAGGCTGAACATTCAGACAGAGAGACAGTTATACATAAAAATACGTGTATAAATTGTAGCCTATGTGTTATTCTGATGTATAAGCTATATCATTGTAAAGTTTCATTAAAATCCATTCAGTAGTATTTGCGTGAAAGAGTAACAAACATACATCCGTACAAACGAACAAACTTTCGCCTTTATAATATTATCGCCTTTATTTATTACGGATAATGTAAAGCGGAACCATTTTTAAAAGCTGCGCGGTATGCACATGCGACATCTATATTATAAAATAAAACGTCATTACTTTACTATGGTCACGGGTGTGTATGCCTAACAGATCCTTGTACACTAAAACTTTGACATATAAGCTAATTTCATATTAGAAAAAGAGTAAAGTGACAAACACTTTGCATAAGGCAGAACATGTACACACAGATAAAATCTATAAAATACTCAAAGCTGCACTTTCAGGGCTCACTTTAGAGACGTGCTTCATACCGGTCTGGGCATGACAGATTCTTATATGATGGAACGGGTGATGGTTGCTCTAGACAGAGGCACTTCGCCGTACGTTACTATGGCAACGTTTGCGAAGGCAATGTCACTATACCTTCGCGGGGATCTGGAGGAGCGCATAGCCTATGCATTTACAGTAAGCTTGCCTATTGACAGTTTTTTGTTGTTTTAATAGATCAAAGAAAATAATAATATGTCAAACTGCAGCGAAATAATTACGGAAGATGTAGGTATGTTTTTGTATAAACTGAAATTGAATATATGAGAATCCAATGTTATACTGTATGTATGTACCAAACATGTATACTGAACAAGATAATTGAAAAATCACGTATTTTTTTTTGGTTTACTAAAATCGTCACGGTGACTACATTGGCGCATATTATGTTCGGCTATTGCATCCGATATTGTTGACCATTCTGCTCGATATAAGTATTGTATGTGTGTGTAACCGTTTCTGTATCACTATACGTTTATCCGCGGCAGTTGCTAGGCTTATGTTCACCAATTCTGACAAGAGTTTTTTTTTTAATATCTATTTCGCAGTCATTATCTGTAGTTATAATATTATATTCTAAATTATATTTCCTCTATTGTTATTTATACAGTATCGGCACATGTTCCTTTTATCTTGCTTATCTTTTAAGCTTGTGATGGGGTCTGTTTTGATTTTTGATTTGTTTAATCCGAAGATAGTTGTTCTAGATGTTTGGTTTTTTAGGTAATTGATAATAGGCAAACGGTGAGTTGTAAAGTGATTAACATGTAGTTTCGACCTCACCTAGGTCAGGTAAGGCTACGAGAATTGATGATGATGATGTTCTAGAATCTGAGTGTTTGTTTATATACGGGTTGATTATATCCATACTGTACATGCATTTCAACTTTTTTTTGCGTTTAGTCTGATTTTTTCGTCTGGCCCACTTTTGTTACGCCCACGTCTGTTCCACTTCATGTTGGAAATGCATCTGGACCGGTCAGAGGTTGTAAATGTCGATAGGTGGCGGTATTCATTTAACATCAGGTAAACCGCCTGTTCTCTTGCCAACTTTTAAGGTAAACAATACATTAGATACTACTGCTATTGAATCCGTGCACGTTTTACAGTGTTACGATCTGCTTGGCGAGGGCCATCTCCGCCGAGAAACTATGTATCAATTGATGAAAAAGAGCTTGGCCAAGTCATCAAGAGATGATGATGTTGAGGAAGCTGTAAAGGTATTAATATTTTAAGAGTCTTAATGTTTTTCTATAAAATTTTAATTCAACTTCGTAATTTGCACACAACATTATTTAAATGAATTATTTGACAAGTCAGTCACAGTCAGCCTCTTCCAACATATTGGGCCTAAAATACTGCCCGCTTCAATGCCAACTGCCAACAAACGCAGAAGGCTTCTTGATACTACCGATGCTTTCTAATATGACATCGTCCATCGGTTACCTTCACTTTCTACCTAATCTTCCAAAAGAGGTCCGTTAAAGTATCTAATTACAATTTACATATAATTTTAAGGGAAAAGGTTAATATTAATTCGATTTTGAAATGGAAATTTGATATCAGAAAAGAAACGTACATTTATTTTGTAGATCCAATGCTAGCAGAAAGGCATGCCCTCTGTAATTTAGGAAACGTAACGTAACGTATACTGAATCTTTATTTGCATAAGCCCTTTAGAAACCGGGATTGTTGACAGATGATGATGGAAGAATTGCTATATTTTTATCTCTACCTAATATGATAAAAATCAACATTTTCTCGAGTAAGTAAAAACTTAGTCAACAAGGATGTCGATAGAATATTAGAGAGAAGAGAAATTTTAGTCAAGTCATTTAAACTTATATTTATGCTGCATAGTGTAAATTTATTAAGTGATGACAGTACATTAGCAGACATATTTATTTCTTATCTGTCTCTTGTATTTTTTTATTATCAAACGAGCAAGCGGTATCTTCTGATGGGTTAGAGATCACAGCCCAAGCACACTTGTAAAATCGGAGTAGTCTGAATTAAATTGCCATGCTTTGAGGTAGGAGTAGGCTCTCTTCTTGATGTCAAAAGTCGTATCGGACCGGAAATACCGCTGGCTGGAATTAATTCCACAAAGTGGAATTAGAGGTTATATAGATTTTTATCTATGATATGGTGTCTTTGAATATATGATATTACGTAATTTTTAAAAAGTTCAATCAATTAACTGATTTACTTTTTGTATTAATAGACATACTGATCAATATAAACAATTTTGGTTTTTTCCAGTAGTGGTGTAAATAGTTCAAGTGCGCAACAATTTAAAACATTAAAGTTATTAATTAATCTGTAGCATGAGAGTATTCATTCACTTCATCTAAAAGATATAAAGGGTTAATTGCATAAACTAAGTATGTTCACATAATAAAAATTTCGTATACGGTATTCGAAATTGTTCATATGCTGAAAAGGCAATGGATGCGCCAAGCATTGCTTCTAATGTAAAAAAAACCACCCGCTTAAATATTTTTAAATCCGTTTTTTTTAGTATTCGTTGCTATAGTAATAACATAAATACATCATTGATGTTGCCACTTTAAAAGTTTCGACTTTCTAACTATTACAGTTCACGAGATACAGCCTGATGTCAGACGGACAGATGGACAGACAGACAGACAGTGGAGTCTTAGTAATAGGGGTCCGTTTTACCCTGTAGGTATGGAACACTGAAAACAATGTAGATAAAAAGACGTTGGGATTTTCGTCGGTATGGCAATCTGCCATTTAGCTTAGTGGCTAAAGCGTCAGGGGGTGAATCCCGAAGACGCGGGTTCTACTCTCGCAGCGGCGAAAAAATACTTTTTTTTTTACAAATTTTAATACGGTGTCTTATTTCAATAGGAACTGGTGGACATAATGCTGAAGCGAATGGACATGGACTTAGACGGAGTGATAAATTATAAAGATTTCCATGATACGGTAACAAAAACTCCATCGCTGCTTGAAAGCCTCGGTTACTGCCTCCCAGAGAGACCGGCTGTCTACGCTTTCGTTGCTACATGGTGTCCATCGTGGAGATCCATGTGAACCCAATATGAAATGTTCAGAGTAACAAATTTTTTTGAATAAACTTACATTTAACAGTTATGCAGTACATTGACTGTTAAGTTTTCGTAAGAAAAATAATAGTAATAACCATTTCTCATCGTATGCACAGTGTTTTTATAAATATTGTCTTCCAATTAAAATCATAATCTCCTAACGATGTTTCAGTTGAATTATATGTAACACGTTGAAAACCCGATGTTAATTAAGTCAACGAAGGTGCGGTTCCTTCATGCCAGTGTATTGAAAACGTTTTTTTTTTATATGGAACTGACTAGCGCTTGACTGCCATCCCACCTGCTGGTAAGTGGCGATGCAGCCGTGGATGGTAAATATGCTAGCTCATTAAAAGCCTATTCACTCTTGCCTTGAAGATGCCTACGTTATAATCGGATGGAAAGACCGACGCCGGCAGGTTGTTCCATTCCTTAGCCGTACGGATGATAAATGACCATGCGAATCTATTTGTTCTTGTGCGTGGAACGTCGACAGCAAAAGGGTTGGTTGTCCGATGATGGAAAGTGGCGGGAAGAATCAAATCCGAGAGTGTGCGACTCCAACGCACACTCTCCAAAATGCATCCTGTAGAAAACCGAGAGACTGGCTTTGCACCTGTGCTCGAGGCTAGTGAGATTGGTTTTAACTAAATTACGGTCACCAATGAGCCTTTCCGCACGATGCCCTTGATTCAATGGCCTCGCCATTGAATCAAGGGCATCGTGCGGGCAGCCAGGTAGCATTTTGCAGCCTCAATCCAGATATGGCGGCAGTACTCCGCACACGACCGGACTTGAGCTTTGTAAAGGGTAAGGAGTTGTCCTGGTGAGAGGGACCGTCGCACCTTTGCAAGGATGCCTAACTTCCTTGCAGCTGCCCTGGCTTTAGACTCAATGAACCGTCCAAAGTTGAGGTTTGAGGATATTTCACGCCTGCATTTTGGTGGTGTTGAATCTCACAAGATTGGCATCGCCCCATTCAGAGACCGCCTGCAGTGTAAGATTCAGATGCTCTACCATGGCCTCTCTTTTGAACTGGGTGTGATCTCTACTGACCCTAAGACCCGGTTTGTATTTCTCCACAACTGTACTGTCGTCCGCGTACCCACAGACACCGGGCTAGAACAGGTCGTTGATATGCAGCAAAAAAAGAGAGTTCCGGAAAGGAGAGAGTCTCCTGAGGAACTCCGGTATCTGTTGTCAGTGGCTCGGATGAACAGCCTTTGACAACTACTCGGAGAGACCGTTCGAGCAGAAAGTCCTTCGCCCAACCAATTAGGCCAGGAGATATGCCGTACGCTGGAAGCTTGCTGAGGAGGCTGGCGTGCCAGACCCTGTCAAAGGCCTTCGAGATATCTAGTAAAACCGCAAGTGCTTCACGATTTGTCTCGAGGGCCTCGCCCCAAAGGTGAGTGGCGTACACTAGAAGGTCCGAAATCGGCGAAATCCGTACTGGCAGCCTAAGAAGGTCATTTAGTTCTAGGTATGCCATGAGGCGGGCGTTCAATATATGTTCCGTAATCTGGCGGAGTATGTAGGTAATTGAAATTGGTCTGTAATTGGCTGGATCGGCACGACTGCCCTTTTTGGAATAGGTTGGACATTCGCCAGGTTCCAGGACTTAGATACTATTCCAGTCTCAAAAGACAGGCGAAACAAACGTGTCAGAACAGGAGACAACTCGGGTACACAAGCCTTTAGAACTAACGCTGGTATACCGTCTGGTCCACTAGCTTTCTTCACATCTAACGTTCCTCTTTTATACGACTCCGTAACGCTTTTATCCGACCACTTGAATGAAATACCACACTGCGCTACAAAACCTTTGACTTGGGTAAAATGGCACCGAACAGAATCAGAAGTACATTTCGGTCCAGGCTGGATATGTATCGTACCAACTCGTACACAGTGACAGCTTGAAAGTGTCACGGTGAAGTTGTTTGCAAAGCGCCTAATTTCGACCAACTTCTAGGTATTACCATGGCAACCGATAATAACAAATATTGTCCTTTAAACGAAAATGTCCTTTTATCCCTGTTTTCAGGGAATGAAAAATGTCATTCGGAAATGACGCTAAATTTCGCCAAAAAAAAATGTTATCATAGCTCGGTTGGTAATCGGGCGACCTCAAAATAGACGGCCGCGGTTCGTATCACGATCATTTACACACTTATTTTTTTTTACTTTTTTTTCTATACCATATCAGTTTCTTTATTTTTTATTTTTTTACTTTCCAAAATACATTATTTACAAAAAAAAATCCTCCAGGTACTTGATATTTAATGCAGGCAGATACGAATTTAATGCGACATTCTGTACCAGTCAACCTTTGGGGGAGGTGAAATAAAACCCAAAAACTAGTATAACAAGTATATTAATACGTGCAGTTATAAAAATATTTTAGTAAGGACAATTAATACACTGTATAGGTCTACATAAATATAGAGCTATAACTAATAATGTAGCAAACATGCCGTACATTACTGTTATTATTGTTACGACGACCGCACACCGAATAATTGTGATAAATTTATGACAAGTCGTCGGAAAACGTTTGAAGCAACTGTAAATTTTATATACGGCTGAGTAGCTTTACTACTTGAACCGTTTTCAAAAAATGCTGAATCTTGTTCTACAGACCATGTAATAGACTCCCTAAAACGGGCGGCAGACCTTATGTTTCTACGCGCAAATTCCTCTATCGCGATTCAGTTCACAGTCGCGATATTACTCGCGACATCTATCGGCGTGAAACATAATAACACGACGGACAAAATCTTTGAAATAAAATTGTGGCCATGGCCGAGCACAAAAAGATATCGTTTTATTGAGTAACAATGCTGTTAGTGTCTGCATGGATTCAATGTAATTAAATATTACATCTTCAAGGTCAAGTGTTAGGATGTCGATCTTGGACGAAAACTATGGGTTTAAATTACAGGTAACACATACGTTTTAGGTGGTTTTTTAAACATATTTACGTACTTTATTCACCAACCGCTCCCAAGTAATATAATGTTAAACTTTCTTTTTTTTTGTTTTAAACATGCATAAACTTCCGTTAATTTAAAATAAGTTCATCCACCAAGCTACCGGTGCTAGGTAGTATGCCGCAGCCCATGGCCATTTGGGAAACCCGTAAGGTTACATAATTATGCATTGCCATTATTTTAATTAAGTGGGACCTCATTGCAACCAGACGAAATGCAGAAGTGCAACAACACTTCCACTTCATGGTGGTTCATGTAACATCGTCTAAAACGAAAGCCAATTTACTTTTTAACTTTAAGCTGGTAAAAAAGCATGCCCTCTGTAACCTAGGCAAAGTAAGGGGTACTGAATCTTTGTTGCATCATTCCTAAATCGCTTTAGTAACCGGGATTGTCAACAGATGGCGATTTTTTATATCTATCACTGGTAACATGTACAGAATAAGTCGTCAGATTTTTATCTATATCTATTGTTAAAAATCACTTATGATCAAGTTGTAATACCGTTATCGTGATTTATTCGAAGGGTGTGGATGGAATATAAGGGGAATTTTTTTTTGCTGAGTGGTGACGGTACACACATTTTATTAGGTATTATTCAAAATCAAAGTCAAAATTTCTTTTTTCAATATACTTAGGCTCAATTTTAGGTCTTATTATTTATACTCTCTTGTAAAAAAAAGTATTACCGATTCACTAAATTAGACCTGACCAGAGAACAACAGGCAAGAAACTGCCGTCTTATCTTTTTTTGTTTCGTTATTTTGTGACACAATTATACGAACTTAATAAACGTATAAAATAAGTCACCACTTGTCCGCATACTTGGCCTTAATGTATTCTTGGATTTCTAATATGTAAATTATCGTGTCACGGTGTTTGTAATTGAACTCCTCCGACACGGCTCGACCGATTTTCGTGAAATTTTGTGTGCATTTCAGCCAGGGTGGAAAATCGGAAAAATAAAATCTATTTTTCGTCCCCCTAAATGTTAAGGGTGGTCCACCACAAACATTTTTTTCTACTCTACAAATAATTTATATGGCAAAACACTTAGGTCAACAAGTTATTTTATAATAAGCTTTTGCCCTTAGAGTACCTTTTACAAAATGTTTGAAATTCTTTATATTTAGTGATTTGAGGATGTCACCTATTTTATATACTACTGGCTACTACGTCTGCGTAGAATAGGCTGAAGGTGTAACATTCAGACAGAAAGACAGATATACATAAAGTATATATATAAATAATGTTAGTCTATGTTGAGTAACAAACATCCATCTTAATAAATAAAACATACAAACTTTAGTTTTTATAATATTAGGTTTTATTTATAGGATCTAAATCAAAACACAATTGGTTAATTAATTTTTATAATTGGTCAATGTTATTTACGTATTAATAAGAAAAATTAAAGAAAATTTTAGTTAACTTTCATACTGTCACCTCTAAATAATAATTTTGCAATAACAAGCAAAGATACTTGAAAGTTACGAAATATAAATTACAATTACAATTGGTCAAAAACTTGTTATAATTGCTCAACGGTAATAGCACCTCAATTTAATAGGATAAACTGATTTCAAAGACAAAAATCATTGTGGCAACAACTATGCAGGTGGCTCAGGATCGTATTTCACCCCAGGCTATTGGGGAGGGCCTATGTTCAGCAGTGGACTCAAACGGGGTGAAATGATGATGATGATTTCGGCAATTGGTCAGCATTTATTTTTCTTATTTATCAAAACATGATCATGATATCATTAATTATTATTTAGAATGTAGTAGTGGTGGGTTTTTGAGTGACAATATCTGACGAGTCAGAAGTTTTCATTTTCGTAGTTCTTATTACGAGAATTAATAGAAATATTTTATTTGAGAATAAACGGAAATAACTTTTTATCTGAGAGCTATCTGCAGTTGACTTTTCGACATTTCGAAATAACTTATACCGTTTTCGCTATAAGGCAGACTGTTGATAGTGTGTACAGAA